TTCAAATTATTTAAAGAAAAAATAAATTATGAATCATTTTGGGAAACTGAACACTGACTGGCTATTTGATATTATTAAGAATTGTTTTCTAGGTGTGACAGGTGTTATGGTTATGTTTTTTAAAAGAGCCCTTGTCCCTTATAGGCACATGCTGATGTTTTTCCAGATAAATTGATGTAATGCCTAGATGTACTTTACAATAGTCCAGTGGGGAGAGGGAAAAAGGGAGAGTCCAGATGAAAATAAAGTTGGCTATATATTGATAGGAGTCCCTGGGTGGTGCAAACAGTTAACATGCTTGGCTGCTAACTGAAAGGTTAGAGGTTGGAGTCCACCCAGAGGTGCCTTGAAGAAAGGCCTGGCAATATACTTTCCAAAAAATCAGCCATTGACAGAGCAGGAGAAAAGTGGGGTACAGAACTCAAATTCTAATAAAAATACCAGACTAAATGGTTTGACAGAGACTGGAGGGACTCCGGAAGACATGGCCCCCGGACTCTCTGTTAGCCCAAAACTAAAACCATTCCCAAGGCCAACTCTTCAGACAAAGATTAGACTGGACTATAAGACATAAAATGATACTCGTGAAGAGTGTGCTTCTTAGTTCAAGTAGATACATGAGACTAAATGGGCAGCTCCTGTCTGGAGGTGAGATGAGAAGGCAGAGAGGGTCGGGAGCTGGTTGAATGGACACAGGAAATCCAAGGTGGAAAGGAGGTATGTGCTGTCACAGTATAGGGAGAGCAACCAGGGTCAGATATCAATGTATGTTTAAATTTTTGTATGAGAGACTAACTTGAATTGTAAATTTTCACTTAAAGCACACACACACACACACACACACACACACACAAAATCAGCCATTGAAAACTCTATAGAGCATAGTTCTATTCTGACACACATGGGGTCGGCATGAGTTGACTTGATGGCAACTGGTTTTTTATATATTGATAATTGTAGAAGCTGAATGATGGGTACATAGGAATTCGTTTTACTAGTTTCACAGAAGCACTAAGTTATGATGTTCAGCAGGGTTGTTGTTTCGTTGTTGATGTTATTTTAATGAAAAAATAGAGGACAAGAAAAACCTGCTAAATAATCTATCATGTGGAAATTGCCTGATTTGTGTAAGAATTTAGTAATCCCCCATGTTATGCTATTGAGAGGACTGTGTGTCTCTTTGTAAATAACTTTTTAATTACAAAAGAATATATTTTCATTGTATGAAAATCAGAAAATATACATAAGATGGAGGTAAAATAATCCAAACCTCATCCTCCAACCAAAAACCCATTGCCATCGAGTCAATTCTGACTTGTAGCGATCCTATAGGACAGAGTAGAACTGCCCTGGAGGGTTTCCAAGGATGTAATCTTTACGGAAGAAGACTGTCACATCTTTTTCCTGCGGAACAGCTGGTGAGTTTGAACTACCGACCTTTTGGTTAGCAGCCAAGCGCTTAACCACTGCACCACCAGGGCTCCTTTTCTAACCCTCTAGAGGGGAGAATATTATTGTTAACATTTTATGTATATTTTATACATTAAAAAACTATGTATATTTTTAAATTGGAATTATTATTAGAGTTTTTTGCCAACTACTTCAGTTTTGAACTCCTGAGACAAGCTGTCAGCTCATCGAGCCCATGGCTAGAGGCCATTTCCAAAAGGGAAGGCAGCAGTAGGCTCTGTGGTCAGCCAGGGTTGGGAAAGCCTGCCCTTGCTTCTCTAGCTCTGTCAGTGAAATCTGCATGTCTGTGTATTACAGTAGATACACCCAAGCAAAACTTGTAATTAGAGTTCTTAGTTTTTTTTAATGGTATATGGTGGTTGAAAGATGGATGGGAAATGTTGAGAGAGGGTAGTGGAAGAAGCCAGTGGTTGTATCAGTTCCAAACAGACCAAGAAAGTATGCAGGGGGGTCATTTTCCCTCCATACTCTTTGTCTGTCTTGCACTTTTCCTTTCATAAGCTGGGACTGGTAGAATAAATTAGGTTACATTCACACAGTGGTGTCCAGTGCAGCTGTAAAAATGAATGAAGAATATCTGTATACTTCTGTGGAATGCCTTTTGTTAAATGCAAAATACAAAGTGGAGAAAAGTGTGTATAGTAACATACCATTTATCTAAATGAGGAGGGGGAGAAAATGTATATATATTTATATGTGTATATATATTTATGTTTATGTTCATATATAAAACAATGGGTATATAAATTTTAAAAAATAAACTACTAGTAGGAGGAGGAGACAGGGACAGAAGCTTGATATCTCCAAATATACCCAGTTTTGTAGATTTTATGTTAGAACCACAGAAATATTTTAATAACTATAAAACAAAATCAGGTTTTAAAAAGAAATAATTCCTAAAATTCCCAAAAGCAAAATGAAACAGAATTTTATATCAAATTGTTGGCATAACCATATAGAAAGGAATTGTTTCAAATGATTGAATACTGTAATTTGACTGTACATCCCTGATGGGATATACCCTAAAGACAAAAAATTAAAATCCTACACTGTTTTCAATAATCACATGTTGTTGTTGGATGCTGTCAAGTCAATTCTGACTCATGGTGACCCCGTGTGACAGAGTATAACTGCCCCATAGGCTTTCCCAGGCTGTAATCTTATGAGAGCAGACCGCCAGGTCTTTTCTCCCGCAGGGCAGCTGGTGGGTTCAAACCACCAACCTTTCGATTAGCAGCTGAGCACTTAACCATTGTGCCTCCAGGGCTCCTTAATGACCATATAGTTGATGGTAATGCTGGGATTGTTATTCTCAGACTGTAGTCTATGGATTGTGAAATAAAGCAAATGGATATTATGTTGGGGTTGCTGGGCACCAGGATTTTTGGCATAGGAAAGTGAAGATAAAGATGTAAGATCAAAGAGGTTAAGTAAAAACCTATAGTCTTGAATTTGAGTTGGAAAGATCAGGAAGAACTCATGATGTATTTTCTATTAAAATGAAGTTTTCCCAACTTCTGTCCTGGTGCAAATAGTTAAGTCCCCAGCTACTAACTGAAAGATTGGCAGTTGGAATCCACCCAGAGGCACCTGAGAAGAAAGGTCTGGCTATCTACTTCCAAAAGATCACAGCCATTGAAAACCCTGTAGAATAGAGTTCTACTCTGAGATCCATGGGGTCGCCATGAGTCAGAATTTACTTGATGGCAGCTATTTTGGATTTTTTTGTTTTGTTTTCTTTTTATCTTCTAAAAATGCTTACAGTGAGTACCCTAGCTTCCAGATTTTGGATGCTACATGCCATTTCTCAGTAAAAGGAATCAAGGATCCTTGGAGAAAAGGCTGATTACAAATCTGGGCAGGGCAGGAAATGTACAAGGTGGTCTGATACATCCTGTCACATTAGAAAGCAAAGAAGTTCTCATAGCCTTCTGGGATCATGTCAAAAGAACTCAGGGGCCAAACTGAAGAGAGCCCCACTTGACTAAAGATGGGACCATTTGAGCATCAATAAGGATAAAATTGCAATGAGTTGAAACACGTCAAATGTGTCTTTAAATTCATGTGTTCAAAGGATTTTGTTTAGAGATCCGAAAAAAATCTTAATTGGTTAAATTAGGAGGATGAGTGATGCAAGTTATATTTTTTAAGCTGATAAAGAAGGGGAAAGAATCAAGGCTTATCCTGCCTTTCCTGTACAAAGTGTACCTTGGGATAACCAAATAGTTAATGATGGGAAGTTGTCTCTTATAAAAGTATTTTAGGTAATAAATGAAGAAAGAAGGATGGAATTAAAATATCACCATTTTACAATGCCTAATGGAATAATCAGGGCCCTGCTGGTGCAGTGGCTAAGCGTTTGCTAACCAAAAGGTCAGCAGTTCAAATCCACCAGCCGCTCCCTGGAAACCCTATGAAGCAATTCTACTCTGTCCTATAAGGTCTCTATGAGTCAGAATCCTCTCGACGGCAATGGGTTTGGGTTTTTTGGAGAATTGAATGGTTCTAAGCAGTGACCACCATGACTGGTAGCATCAAAAAAGAGAGTGACACCAGACATTATGCGCTCCTCCTGAAAGCGTACACTAACCCCTATGAAGTACTCTTGCCCCAAGAAAATTCAACCTTGAATCTCAATTACCAATTTAGAGGAAATACTGGGGAGTGAGTAACATGTTAAATGAACCACGGAGATGCAATCAGCAAACTCTGGACTATGGAAAAATCTACAGGACAAGTAAAATGTCAAGGAAATTTTTTTTTTAATTACAAGGGAAAAAGTAGATAGAAAGGGAGGGCAGAACATGTAGATTAGAAGAGACTTAAGAGACTTATCACCCAACTGCAATGTGTGGAACTTATCTGGATCCTGATTCAAACAAGCTAGAGAGAAAGAGAGAGAAAATATGAACGAAGTGTGAACCTTAACTATATATATATATGATGTTATTAAAGAACTAGTTTTAATTACTAATGGTATAATAATGGGACTATAGTTATGCTTCCTTAAAATAATTCTTGTCTGTTTGGGATGCATACTGAAATATTTATGGAATGAAATGATGCAAAGCTTGCAATTTGCTTTTTTGGAAGGAAGTGGGAGGGAGTACAGATGAAGCAAGAGTTGATCACTATTGGAGCTGGGTGATGGATGCATGGGAGTTTATTATACAGTTCTCCTTACGTTTATGTAAATTTGAAATTTCCATAATAAAAAACTTCTGTTGTTATTTTTAAAAAGCAGGCTCTGGCTTGGATTTTTTGTTTTGGTTTTTGTTTTTTTCACCTTCATTATTCCTTCCTTCCAAAATTTGGGAGTGGCCTGACCAGTGTGACCACATGGAACTTAGTTCATTCACCTGAGCTTAGTTCAGTCACCTGTTTTCCCCTACCAAAACCCATACATTTTCAAGACCAGTTTGTTTTTAATTTAAAAGTTGTATGACTCAATGGCAATGGGTTTTGGTTTGGATTAGTATTGTTGGTTCCTGGGAATGCTGAAGAGGGCTGGCTGCTTGCTTGCTCTTCAGGTTCTGGGATCTCCAGCTATGGGAATAACCCCCAAGATGTCTCCAAAGCCTTTGAGGATTGCATGCAAGAAGTCAAGGAGCAGATTCCAGCCCACCTCCATGGATCCACTCGCATTCACCTGGGAGCCACAGCAGGGATGCGCTTGCTGAGGTAAGAGCAAGAATCACCCAAAGGACCCCACTTGACCAAAACAGCCAAGAATGTGCTGAGCCTTGCCAAGAATGTAGCTCTATTTGTGGGACCAAATCTGAAAGACAGAAGACCATATTCTGCCGTAAATTTAGGCTTTAAAGGTTGGGAAACTTTCAGTCCTTATTTTAATAGCCAAAAAGAAACAGGTCTAAAATTGATTCCCTTTCCCTTGCTGATTTTACTGAGAACTCTGAATAAAAGGGAAATAACATGAAATCTGTTCATGAGGTATACTTCTAGTTCTTCAGAAAAGTATTGGTGTTTTGACACCTATGAACGAACAATCAACTCCACTCAGTACAACCCATAGCTATATAGCTTCTACCCATGTACAAGTGTCACCGAAATCTGTTTTAAAATAATGAAATGTTTGCACCTAAAATCATTCAAGATCTTTGGCATTATTATGAAGCAAACGTCTCATTTCATTCAATCTTCTAAATCTGCAGCCATGACCTTTAGCCAAATCACATTGTTTCTGAATGCCCTGTCTCTTCATTGTTTTCTCCATTATAGTACTTCCTTGACCTTGAAATAAAAGAAAAATAGTTCAGAAAAGAAACAGCAAACTTGAACCTATTCAGGGTAGAGGCTGCTCCAAGCTTTGGAAACAAGGCTTTATCGCCAGAGGGCACTCATTCAGCCTCAAAGCCACTTTGTCCATGACTCCAGTAATGTAGAAATAGATGTGTGAGGATATGAAAAAAATATAAAGGAACAAACAAACAGCTGCTTTGTCCCTGATCACACTGGAAAATAAATCATAAATCCTGGATGGGATCTTTTCCTTGGAATTTTCCTACATCCCTGTGTCTGTTCTTATGTCCCGGTTGACCAAGTAGAATGTGGAAGGCAGTCAGATTTCTCTGCTTACTATTGTTACCCAGACAATAGCTGTGCATTTCAAAATTATTGAGTTTACCTGAAACAGAAATGATCTAGAAATTCTTTCTTTCTACCATTTCTTTCTAATGGAAAAAGTTCTAAAGAACCTAACTTTTTCTTAGTTGTTCTCCCCAGTCCTCTTGGTGAGAAATAATTAAAAGGCTCTGCAATTTATAGGCCATGACAAAAACCATAGAGGAGAAAGCTCACCCCTTGGGAAAAATAGTGGATGTCCCATTTGAATAAATTAAATATTAACGCCTCCTCGTAAAACTTTTCTGTTGGTGATCCATTTCTTCTGAGAAACTAGTTGACGTTTTGATCACCAGAAAAGTGAAATACAGAAAACAGTTAATGAGAAGCAATTGGGATGGGAACTGATAAAACTGGGAATATCTGAATTATTTTCTAGTCTGGGATAGTTTGCCACTGAATTGCAAAGGACTTCGGCTTGTAGCATTGCTCTTTCTTCATCTTGAGCCAAAATGAGTCAGCTCCTGTGGCTTTCTTAATCCACTGATGAAAGGGAAAATGATACCCCAAGTGAGCTTTCTTCTGTAGGGTAAGATGACAGCAAATGAGTGATATTAATAATGCTATGTCGTGGGTGACATAACAATACTAGGTTGTCATTCCTCCATGGGTCTGCCCATTGATGATTTTTCCATCCCATGATGGCCATTTGTCCTAAAGGAGATATCCTATTGTGATGAAGCCCTCTCAAGGAGCAGAGCAGGGACAGCTAGATATTCAACCCACTTCCTTTCCCCTTCTAAGCTGCCTTTCCTTCTAGCCTGCTGAGGGCTCCTTTGTATGGTGCCCCCAACTGATTATTTCTGCCTTCAATCTCCATTCCTCTGCTGATCTGAGACAGAGCAATAGTGGGTAAGCGAGAGGCTCTTTTGATTAGCTGGTTGCTAGCAAGTGGGACAGGTACTGATAGGGGTGGGGAGAACAAGTGGTATTTTTACTGGAAGCTAATTCCTTTCTTGGCCGTTGGACAGGGAACAAGTGCACCCTGTCTTCACGATTGCCCCTGGAGGCGTCCACTTGCAAAGGAGATTGCTGTCTGTTGCACACATCTGGAAATCATCCCTGCCAGCCGGGGAGTAGGGAGGTTTGCATTTTCCCCTGAGTGAGACTGTTTGAAGACTGTGTTGTCTGGGTGCTCAGCCTCTTGTGTTCTGTGCCTTGCATAGGTTGCAAAATGAAACAGCAGCTAATGAAGTCCTTGCAAGCATCCAAAACTACTTCAAGTCCCAGCCCTTTGATTTTAGGGGTGCTCAAATCATTTCTGGGCAAGAGGAAGGGGTGTATGGATGGATTACAGCCAACTATTTAATGGGAAATTTCCTGGAGGTGTGTGGAAACAAATGCATGGTTTTTAATCTTGCTGTTTATCCTGTCCCCTGTGGGTGGTAACTTAAGCAGAGGTGCATGCCAACAGGGGCATCTGTCCTGTATCACTCCCATCATATAATGCATTAGGGAAGTACCTTTGAGCCAATAGCTAAGAAAAGATATTAGTTATCCCTGAGTATAACTGGGGCAAAAACTTGTATCGTAAACAGGACTGGATGGAAGGGGGAGGGGGAATATTATCACTTCACTAGGTTTTAAGAAATTGGGTAGGAAATCTAAATCTAACACTAGACTATGGGTCTTTTGAAGGGCAGCAGGAGAATGATCTTTCAGAGAGGCTCCATGGCCTTCTAGAATTTACCAAGCCCTCAGGCAGTCTGCTTCCCAACTCATTCTGGGTACCCAGGTCTCCTTACACTCCACTCCCTACACTCCTTGCACCTTTGAAGTCAGGAAAATCAACTCCAAAAGACAACTATCACATTACAGAGGACACAGATGGAGAGCACCCAGCCCATATCCATCCCAAGACCTGTTTTATTCCTCCTCAAATGTATTTAAATTTTTTAAATTCATTGTCAACAGTTAAAACATGGGAAATTTCATAGATATCCACATTTCTAGCTTCTGCTGACTTTCCTCCAAAAAAATAGAAGAACCAGTCACATTGGACTCACATTCCTGCACAGTTAACAATCAACTGGAACAGAGTGCAGCTCATGAACTCACCAGTTTGCCCTAGTCCCCACAACTCCCTGTTGTTCACACCAAATCTGCTTCACTCATTTGTTACTCATTTACATTGCCTGCCCAGTCCCTGTAAGCATTTGAATTCACTACTCCTGAAATAAAAGAAGGGACTTGGCCCTGAATACTACATATGCCATACTTGGTAGAATAGTAGACAGGTCCTGGGTGGAGACTCCTGCACAGGCAGAGATGGTGCCTTTGGTCTTTTTTCTCGCTTTCTTTTCCCACTGTGCAGAAAAACCTGTGGCGTATGTGGGTGCATCCACATGGAGTGGAGACTACAGGAGCCCTGGATTTAGGTGGTGCCTCCACCCAAATATCTTTTGCTGTGGAAGAAAAGGCAGGGCTGAACACCAGCGGCATCACGCAGGTGTCCCTCTATGGCTACGTGTACACCCTGTATACACACAGCTTCCAATGCTATGGACGGAACGAGGCTGAGAAGAAGTTTCTGGCAATGCTTCTTCAGGTACTTGGGCCTGGGGGGTAGCATGTGTTCCTTGGGGAGTCTGAGCTAAGGGGAGGGTTTCCTGCGTTCTGGTGTTTGTCCTTTCTGCTCCAGCTGGAAGGCTGATGGAAAACAACAGCATTTTCCAGTTTACTCCTGATGGGTCCCAGCCCTCTCCTTGTTGTGTTGACCATTTCCAGCATAGTTGTGTGAGAAGTCCAGGGAAGTTTCAGAGCTCCAGATGCTTTGTAAATGATTCAAGGCCTGGGATCCCTTTACAGACACGGACTGTTTTAAGCCAATAGCTAAATAGGCCTGAGAATTTTGAGACTGCCTTGGGCATGCACAGAATAGTAAAAGTGGTCACAAGAGAAATGCTTGCTGACAGGGGAGAGGTCAGAGCCCTCCCTAGGCTCAGCCTTCTTTGAGATGGGTCTGTATTAGGCAGGCTGGATGCCCTTTACATGGTGGGATTTTAGAGCAACCTGACTCCATCACGTGGGTCAGTAATTCTGGTAATTGTTCCAGGGCACAGATGGCCACTTCAGGCATCAGCTAAAAGGCTGTCGTGAATATAAACTCAATTTATTGTATTTGGTGTCAGTGAAGACACTAGCTCCATGGATGAGCCCCAGACCAAACTCCAGCTCTCAAGGGACATCGATTGCAGCCGTGGTTGGGCTGCTGAGATGAAGGGGAGGGCACTGACCACCCAGGAGGAGTATGAGGCCAGCTGCAGGCCACAGATCCTGGCTTCTGATGGGACAAAGGGGCAAAGAAAGAGGGCTGGGTCTCCCTGTGCACATAGTGGGCACAGCATCTGTAGGTTAATCTTCACCTCTCCAACCCACCTTGGTTATCAAAAAAGAGAATAGTATTTCCCAGACACTAGCGTGCAGAAGGAGCTCTGGTGGCACCGTGGTTAAGAGCTAGGCTGCTAACCAAAAGGTCAGCAGTTCAAATCCACCAGCCACTCCTTGAAAACCTGATAGGGCAGTTCTGCTCTGTCCTATGGGGTCGCTATGAGTCAGAATCGACTCCACGGCAACGGGTTTTATTTAGCCTGCAGAAGAATTGGGCTGGGTTACAGTGTCATCTTCAGCAGACCTCACGTCTTCAGACCCCTTCATTTGCCAAGTGGTCATGCAGGGTGGGTGGTGGGAACTCGCCATCCAGTTCTAATCCCTCCCCAAAACTTCTCTCTGAGTCCCACAAGAAAAGCCAGAACCCCAGTACATATGTATGTGACATTTATTTTTGAAAAGGCTGAGCACTGCCTGGGAAGGAAAAAGGGGAGAAACCTACAGGCAGCCCTCAGCCACTCTTGTCTGGCTCAAGAAACTCAGCTGCCACCCTAAACTTTTAGCTCCCTACTCAGCCAAACAACCCCGCAGATAGCCCAACCAAACCCCGCAGATAGCCCAGTCAACCCTCCTTAGCCAGCCCTGCTGTGTGCATTGTTACTTGAATGTGCACCTCACAGGGGTCTCAATGTCCACCACCCACCCTAACCCCCACTTGCTTATTAAAATATTTCAACATACTCTGGCCCCGGGTTTGTGGCAGGTGGCAGGGAGGGACCCTCTGATAGGGTAAGTGAGGACAGGTGAAGTAATCCATTCCCAGGGTCAGAGAGGCTAACCTTGTAACTTTGGCTGGCCCTGGCGGAGGAATACACACACACACACCCCTACAGTGTTTATTAAAGGATGATTCTCTGTGTCACAAACAATCTACACAAGAGAAGTGACCATTCCACTTTTCTGAGCTCTCATTTAGGTTTGGGAATGCAGGTCTCTAGGTGGGCACCCAGTACTAGAGGCAGAGGAGTGAGACCCCAGCCTCTCACTGTGGACAGTCAGCAGCCAGTGGTGGGAGGGCGTCTCCCTCTCTTGGTAACCTCTGAAAGCCTCAGATGGAGGCTCTCCCCCAGGCACCCTAGAGTCCTGACTCAAGTGAGGGGAGGGATCCAGGTGTGATGAGGATCATCCACGAATGCATGCCCGGTCCTGCCTGAACAATCCTTTCATGTGCCAAATATGTGTTGCTAAGCCCTGACTTGGTTCACACACATTACTGTGTCATGAGAACTGGATGAGTAACGAATTTCCACCCATCTGGGTCTCTCTTCCTCATCTGCAAAATAAGGGGCTATCTGGGGTGGCGAGAATGATACCTGGATGACGGATACTTTGCAAATTCTTTTCTTAATAACAAATCCCCACTCACCCCTCCCGGGCTCAGATCTCATTCTGATAGCAGGTTTCACATTAGGGACGTGCATTTACTGTCTTTCCCTTTTTAAGTAACATTTTTTTTTCTTTTGCTTCTAAAGTAATACGCGTTCAGTGGGGAAAAAAAATTTAGAAAACACGTGCAAACAAATATAAAGAATAAAATGAAAAACACTCAAAATTAAATGCTATTAACAGGTTGTTGCATTTTCTCCCAGTTTATGTTTATGTATGAATTTGTATATTTATAAAATTGGCCTCATAGGGTATATAGAGTTTTCTTTCCAGCTTTTTTTTCACCTAATGATACATCATGAGCAATTTTCTGTGTTGTTAAATGTCCTTTGAAATTATTATTTTTAGAGGTGCATACTCTTCCAAGTACCATCTTTTAAAAAGAAAACTTATGTTGGTTATTTTATTATAAAAGAAAATACATTTTTCTTAGAAAAATTTCAAACCATACAAAAAGGGTGTTAAAGTAAAAATGAAAGTTTCTCCCTCCAGTCTCAGACCACTGATCACAGCTTGATGTGTTGTTCTTCTGGGCATTACAGGTCAAAATGTAACTTATTTTCTTTCCTGTTTAGTATTCCATAGTTTTTCAGTCAGTCTCCTGATGGACACCAGGCTATGTCCCGTTTTGTTGCTACAACAATAGTACAGTAAATTTTCTTATACATATAACCTTACGTACTAGTGATTTTACTGCTGTAAGATAGGGTCAAAGAATAGATGAATTTTTCCAACACAATTAAAACCATTTAAATTCCCACCAGCAATGTTGTGATGACTTTTGCTTGCCCTGGTGGCACAGTGGTTGAGAACTATGGTTGCTCACCGAAAGGTCGGCAGTTCAAATCCACCAGCTGCTCCTTGGAAACCCAGTGGAGCAGCTCTACACTATCCTATACGGTCGCTATGAGTTGGAATCAACTCAGTGACAGCAAGTTTGGTTTTTTGGTTTATACAGTCTTATAACTTCAGGGTTCCAAGATATTCCAGTAATATCTACTTGGATATTGAGGATCCGTTTCTGGATTTTCTGTTCTTTATACTCATCATTTATCCATTCTAAGGCCAATATCATGCTATTCTAGTTACAATAGTTAATTTTTCTACTCTCCAACTTTTATTTTCTTTTTTCTTTTAATTGTGGTGAAAATATACACAATGTAACGTACACAATTTCTGCATACACAATTCAGTAAAAAAAATTGATTACAATCAAGTTGTGCAACCATTCTCGCTTTCCTTTTCCAAATTGTTCCATATCATTAGCATAAACTCATTGCCCACTAAGCAAAAACTCTTCCTTTCCCCCACCTTCCTACCCCTGGCATCCACTAATAATCTTTGGTTTCTATTAAAAAACCTGTTGCCGTTGAGTCAATTCTGACTCATAGTAACCCTACATTTGCTTATTTCATATAGGTAGGATCATACAGTACTTGTCCTTTTGCAACTGTATTCAGGGTTCACCCATGCTGTGACACGCATCAGGACTTCATTTCTCTTTATGGCTGAGCAGCATTTCATTGTGTGTATACACCACATTTTGTTTATCCATTCATCTATTAATGGACATTTTGAGTTTTTCCACCTTTTGGCTATTATGGAAAGTGCTGCAATGAAATTGGTATACAGGTTTCTGTTTGCATTCCCACTTTCACTTCTGGGTATATAACTAGGATTGGGATTTCTGTACTCTCAGACATTTATTTTGAGGTTCAAAATCATTTTCAGTAATGACAAACAGAAAAAAACCTTTATTGAGATGATGATTGAAATTGCATTAATTCATATATTAATTTGGTAAAAATTGGCTTGTTAATCATATTAAGAATTTCTATCTAGAATTTTAGACTGTCTTTCTATTTATTTCGCTCTGCGTTTGTATCCTTCAATGAAATTTGTGGTTTTCATCATTGGTCCTGTATCTTTCTTGCTAAATGTAGTTTCCAAGGATGTGTTTTTAACAGTTTCTATCACTATAGAAAATGGTGTATTTTTTCCATTTGTAACTGGTTTTGCCTCCAAGATCAAGTTATGCTATAATTTTCTAGTGAACTTTTTGTTTCTCAAGCTCGCTGGTTGACTCTTTCATGATAAAAAAAACAAAAACCAAACCCATTGCTGTCCGGCCTATTCTGACTCATAGTGACCCTATAGGACAGAGTAGAACTGCTCCACAGGGTTTCCAAGGAGCAGCTGGTGGATTCAAACTGCCGACCTTTTGGTTAGCAGCCTGAGCTCTTAACCACTGCGCCATCAGGGCTCCAGATGCGGAGTATATATATATGTTGTTGTTGTTGTTAGGTGTCGTCGAGTCGGTTCCAACTCATAAGTTCAGAGAAGATTCGTTGCATGTTGAATGCCTGAGTAATTTGGCACACTGGTAAATTTAAGGAATGCCATAATAAATAATTCAAACTCAAAAGGAGAAGAGAACTAATATTTACTGAACTTCTATGGAGCAAGCCAGAAATAATTTATATTATTTTAATCAATAAAAACAAATTGTCAGATTTTGAGGGGAATACTAAGTAATTCGTTAATTGATTTAATTTTTTCAACAGATATTTCAGCCATAGGTGACCCTGGTGTAATATGTTACAAATTAGACTGAAACCATTTGTAGTTTTTTAAAACAAATAAAAGAGGGGTGGGGTGAAGAAAATATATTTGTATATGCATAGATGCTCTCTGGAAGGATACCCATAAACTGGCGATAGTGATTGCCTGCAGAGAAGGAAATGGTGGCTGGAAGTGGGTGGGAGGGAGACAATTATCATAATATACTTATTTGTACCTTTTGGATTATTTTACCAGATAATCTATCTAAAATAATAAATTAATCTAAAGATACCTTGTTTTCTCATCAAAGTGGAGTTCATAAAACCTGCTTCACAGGACTGTCGTGAGGAGTGGATCAGATAATATGAGAGAGAGCCAAGCATCATGCCTGGTGTATAGTATCTGTCACCCCTGGCCCTGCCCTCCCTTAAATTCTCTAGGTAGCCTGGGTGTTGCCATCAAATATACACTGGGGCAGAATATTTTTGTTTTGTTTTGTTATTCTGTTTTCCATTTCTCTCTTGGCATTGGAGGTTAGCAATAGGGAGTTTTCGGAAAAGGGAAACACTTGCTTATCTGTAAAAGAATGGTTTCTTACGCCTCGCTCTTGTGCCAACAGAATTCTCCCACCAAAAGCAACGTCATCAATCCCTGTTATCCTCGGGATTATATCACCACCTTCACTATGAGCCGCCTGTTTGACAGCCTGTGCACGCTGGACCTGAAGCCGGCCAGTTACAACCCCAACAACAGCATCACTTTTAAAGGAACCGGGGACCCATTGCTGTGTAGGGAAAAGGTGGCTTCCCTATTTTACTTTGAAGCTTGCCATGGCCGAGAAGCCTGTTCCTTTAATGGAGTTTATCAGCCAAAAATTAAAGGGCCATTTGTGGTAAGAGCAAAACCCGCTGAAAATTTCCTTTTTTCTCCATCAAATATTTATTTCTCACCAATCTGTTTCTCTTCTGCTGACCTACTTCCCACTTTCATATTCCTCACCCCTGAAAAACCTCCATATTATATCCCATTCTGAGGACTAATTTCCTTCTGTATTATTTGCTTACAGGCTTTTGCAGGATTCTACTACACAGCCAGTGCTTTAAATCTTTCAGGTAGCTTTTCCCTAGACACCTTTAACTCAAGCACCTGGAATTTCTGCTCACAGAATTGGAGTCAGGTCAGTAAAGAGAAAGGATCAATGTCAGTACACAACAGTGTAGCAGGGTGTATCCCTTGAGTGTGTGTGTTTGTGTGTTTTGAATTTGAGCTTACTACTGTTCTATCTTTCAACCTGAGACCCTAGGTGGTACAAACAGTTAACTCACTTGGCTGCTAACCAAAAAGTTGGGGGTTCAAGTGCACCCAGAGGCACCTCAGAAGAAAGGCCTGGCAACCTAGTTCCAGAAAATCAGTCATTGAAAACACTATGGAGCATAGTTCTACTCTGACACACATCAGGTTGCCATGAATTGGGGTCTACTTGACACTAACTGGCTGTCATTTTGTTTTGTTTTGTTTTTACCTTTCCACTACATCTGTCAAATAGGAGAGAGCCCTGGTGGCCCAGTGGTTAAGCACTTGGCTGCTAACTGGTCAGAGTTTGAACCCACCAGCCGCTCCGTGGGAGAAAGACATGGCAGTCTGCTTCCATAAAGATTACAGCCTTGGAAGCCCTATGGGGTAGTTCTACTCGGTCTTATAGGGTCACTATGAGTAAGAATTGACTTGACGGCAACACGTTTTTTTTTTTACCTCATACTCATGTGTGGATTATGTAACGTTCTAACCACATGCACAATGACTGGCACATAATACATACTCAATAAATTTTGTTTGTTGTTGTTGTTAGGTGCCATTGAGGTGGTTCCAACTCACAGCAACCCTGTGTACAACAGAATGAAACACTGCCTGGTCCTGCACCATCCTCAAAATCGTTGCTATGTTTGAGTCCATTGTTGCAGCCACTGTTATTATTATGTGATCTCGTGCGGTATTTTTTAATTATTGTATAATTGTATTATTATAATAATTTTTATTATTAAATTCTGGGTGGTAAGATTCTTTAAACTATCGCTGTTGACCTGAGGTGTTTTGGAATGTGCCTTTAACGACATGCCTGCTCGCCCTGCCTTTCATCTGTTGTAACCCTTTTCAGCTCCCGCTGCTGCTCCCCAGATTTGAGGAGGAGTACGCCCGCTCCTATTGCTTCTCAGCCCACTACATCTACCACTTGCTCGTCAGTGGATACAAATTCACCGAGGAGACCTGGCCCCAAGTCCATTTTAAAAAAGAAGTAAGTCAGAGTCCAAATTGTTTTCTCCTTTTCGTCTCAAAATAAAGGTTTGTATGTATGTGTGTGGAAGAAACGTAGAAGGTAAAAGGGTATTGGTGATTTTAAACTTCCTGGGCAAAAGCTGGTCAGTCTGTGATTACTTGTGAACACCCGAGGAGAAGAGAGAATCACGGAAGGAGTTCACAGGAGACCCTTCCAGGTGAAGAAAGGATTAGAAGCCAAGAGCCAATGGACGATGAGCTCCTCAGGGCAGGGACTTGTCTTATTATCTTCATATTCCCACACAGGGACTAGAACGCCATAGGTACTTAGTATTTGTTGAATGAATAGGTAAGTATGTTAAGGGCCTGAGATTCTTTAATTCTGAAAAGCAGCTTCAAAAGATAACTTAATAATTTTTTTAAAAGAATAGTAACTCACTGAATTGTGCATGTAGAAATTGTTCAGTTGGTGTATGTTCTTTTGTGTATATTCTCAACAAAAACAACAAAAAATAAATTTTTAAAAAAGAATAGTAACTAGTTGCTTCTCCATTTTACACCTACGTCAGAATAAGATACAGGCTTTATAGCCTGAGGAATTCACATCAGCGTTATGTGAGAATTTTCTTTTTGAATGAGCCTAAGTTACTGCAGTTACTGAAGAAGACTTGTGGGGTAGGGAGAATTGTATTTGCTCATTATCTATATACGGTATATACGTATATATATACACCTACATACACACACCATGGACTGCCAGAAGAATGAAGAAATCTGTCTTGGAAGAAGTACAACCAGAATGCTCCTTAGAAGCGAGGATGGCAAGACTTCATCTCACATACTTTGGACATGTTATCAGGAGGGACTAGTCCTTGGAGAAGGACATCATGCTTGGTAAAGTAGAGGGTCAGAGAAAGAGAGGAAGGCCCTCGATAAGATCGATCGACACAGTGGCTGCAACAATGAGCTCAAACATAGCGAAGGTTGTGGGGATGGCGCAGGGCCAGACAGTGTATCATTCTTTTGTACGTAGGGTTGTGATGAGTCGGAACCAACTCAATGGCACCTAACAACAACACACACACACACACACACACACACACACACACACAGACACACATACAGACACACAGACACACACGCACGCACGCACACACACACACACACACGGTAGATATCAAGTCCAGAACAGTCTGACAGCTATAATCACTGCTGTCACCAGGTAACGGGGAGAGGGGCCTCCTGTTTTCAGGAAGGACTCAGTCTTATGAATGCGTTCAGCCAAGGTTACATTCTCCAGGCCCTGGGAGGGTTTTCTCATTTCGGGAATATCTGATGTGAAGCCTGAAGGATGTCTGGAGTCTGTTTGTTCGATACCAGCTTTGGTAATAATTAGCTTAAACCAATCAATATACTGCATTAGGTCTGTGACTGTCTACTTTTACAGAAATAAAATTAAATAATCTACAGAAAATAAGAATGCCTCGAGACATATAAGGACTGCTGGTGGCATGTGCTCTCTAGGCCTTGCTTCTGATAAATCTAATTACCAGTAAAGTATAGGATAATGATGGAGAATGTTTTTCCATTGAGTACAAATTTGGATTGATAGAAAATTCTAGATTTAAAAATCCTAAAGAATTTTGTATCCAGACAATTTTGTATTCAAATGTAAGGGCAAAAAAAAAAAGAAGACTTCAGAAGATATTCCACACGAAGGCTTACATTGCAAATATTTTTTAAGAAAGTAAGCGAATAAGAAGAGAAAAAAATCCAGATGTTGCAAGAGTATAGGAAGCAAGAACAAATTATATGGCCTAAAATTTAAATATTAAAAAAAAAAACTAACACCAAAGAAAAGAAAAAGAAAAATCCATCCATAACAACCCAGAATTGAAGTAGTGTATTGTTATGCAAATAACAAGCACCTTCTACTTTTGTTTGCCAACCATTCCCTCCCCCATGAGGTATTTTCCTAAGCCTGCTATGCTAATTTTTTTTTTTTTTTTACAGCAACGTGTAAAAACAAAAAAAAATAGGCATAATAGCGCTTATGAAAATGCCTCATGGGGGGAAGGAGTGGTTGGCAGACAAACATAGGTGTGCATTATTTGCATAAGGTGTAGGTAAAATCCAGCACAGTGCGGGTAGGCAGGGTGGAGGATGAAAAGATAGAGGGACATAAGAATGGCCTAATGTTCTCCTTTTGTGAAGGAGAAGATACACATAACATTTTTAAGGCAAGAAGGAGGTAAACAAAATATAGAAATATGACAGTAATTTAATTTAAAAAGGAAGATGGTAGAAAGAAGTCCAAATATATCAATAATCACGATGATCACAAATGGACTAATTCACCAATTAAAAGACATATTGTCAGACTGGATTTTTAGAAATCAAGTATATGCTGTTTATAAGAAAGATGCTTGTGCTTTAAACGTAAGTACATGGAAAGGTTGAAAAGTTAAAAAACATTTTTTTAAAATCCATCAGGCAAATACTACCCAAAAGAAAGCTGAGGTAGCTATATTCATATCTGATAAAACAATCTTTAAGACAAAGAGCATCATTTGAGATACAGAGGGTTACTACTTAATGATAAAACAGAAGATTGCAAATTTGAAACATTATACACCTAGTAAAACAGCCTAAAAATATGTAAAACAAATATTGATGGGACTACCAGAAGAAATTGACAAAGCCTCTTTCCCATTTGGACTGATCAAGAAACCGGACCAATGGGTCTGCACCCAGTGTGCAAGAAGCCAATCTCTCAGAAGCTGTTTTCGAGAGGAAGAAAGAGTTTATTTTGCAGGCCAGCAAGCGGGAACTCAGAGGTTATCGACCTCAGATTGAGTTCCTCGATTTGAGTGAGAAATCACATTTTATACTTATACATATTCACATAAGGGTGGAGGAAGGCCGTGGGCAGGATCAGAAAGTTTTAACTATTCATAGTTTCTACTGATTATTTATTACGAGGCAGGGTCTAAGACTTGGCCCAGAAGTGGCTGACAGACTCTTTGCTTTTGAAATGGGTGCAGCTATTGCCAATGACATACATCCAGTGATTTTGGTTCTGTGACATGGGACTTTTGGTTCCTTGATGTGAGTTCTCTTGTGTTACTTAGCATGCGTGGTGGCCTGGGGTCGTCTGTCGGTCATCTTTGTGTCTGTTGTGCACATGTCTGACCATTCTGAGCTGGTTATATCTGGAACCGTCTGGGGTTCTCCAGAGGGTCTGCAAAACAACTTAGAGGAAGTGAGTGACTAGTGGGGGAGGTGACTAGACATGGCCTGATAACCAATGCAGTACTAATTAGTTAGGTGTCTTCAGCCTCTAGGGTCCCCTACAACTCCTCCTGTGGTTTGTACCATTGCCAGTCATGGGAATAGGGGTGACAACCGCTCATGGCTGCTTCCTGCTGAAGGGGGGTGCTGTTGGACAAAGGCCTTGGCATAAGTCTGGATTTGAGATTTCTGGTCCAGAGGTTGGAGGGGCATGTACCCTTTGCTCTGGGGAGGAGTATGGAGGACCAAAAGGCTAGTAGCCTTTAACCTATTTTCAATAAAACAGGTGAGAGCATGGAGAAGACACGAACCAGCACTGAAGTTCTTCCAAGTGTCCATCACCTGCTTACACTCACTAGTCACGACACTCCCCAGGTCGGGCCTGTGTCTGAGGGCAGAGGCACTGGCCCCTTGAAGACACTGGGAGTAAAAGGTGTACTTAATTGTTAAGGAAGTACTGGAAGTGAGGGGAAAACAAAAGGCTGGGATACTAGGAGATGATTGGGCTAAGGTTTGCAGCCCATAACTAGGGAAAAAGGACCAAGGGGGTAGACCAATGAAGTGGAGGGGTGGGATATGCCAAGTGAAGTAGTTCACAAAGGTGGCACAGGGTTTACTCCCGCTAGAGTTACTCCCTGGGTTCTGCTGACATATCTAACAAGAGGTGAGATTTTCACCATGCGCTATGGCGGAGACCCGTTTGATCATAGCATTATCAGCCCATTGACTTATGGCTGGGATGATGATCTCAAATACGTATAAAAGGGCTAGGAACCTCATCTTTTGGGCGCAGGAGAGGAGAGAAGTACTCTAGCTTTTACCTGAGGCAGAGAAAATGGTTCAGTCCAGCAGGGAGGACACAGTAAAGCATACAAGCCCAGAAAATGACAACCAGTATAGCAAATACAGTCACATTAAGACAACAGTCTGTGCCCTTAGGGCACACTGGGTCTAATGCATGGAAAGTATCAGTAAATAAAAGCTGGGGCTACTTAGCTACTAAGAACTTTCTTCTTTTTAAACAATAATTTTAGTCCATCAACAGGTTTAATATCATATTCTGTCTTTCTAGGTTGACGTAACCAGTGAAGATTGGGGTGGTGGGCTCCTCTCGACTTACTGTCTCCTGTCAGTCCATTCCCGGTGTCACAGGGATGAGTGGTCTGGTTGATTTGAGAAGGATCGGTCTCATACTGGGGCACAAGCTTGAGTCTGGAGTGATGTAGCCAAGGTCGGACTCCCTTCAATTTGTCGAGGAGTGGGTGACCGGGAGAACTTCATAAAGTCCTTCCCATCTAGCCCGTAGTTGTTGGCTGGGGTCTGGTCTTTCCAGTTCTTAAGGAGCGCCCAGTCTCTGGGTCTCAGGTTATGGAGCAGGGTATCTGTGGGAAACATAAGTCTGCTGGCTGCATAATGGTTAATAGCCTTTAAAGTAATAGAAAGAGTTTGTACATACCTGACTTTATCTAGTCCCTGGTCACAGGCAAGTCTGCATGACTCCAGTGCCCAGGGTCCCAGGGTTTGAGGAGGGGTCTCCCATATAACATTTCATACGGACTTAATTGGAGTTTGCTTCTAGGGGCTACCCTACTTCTGAGAAGGGCAATGAGAAGAACCTGAAGCCATGTAAGGTTGGTTTCCTGACAGATTTTGGCCATTGTTTTGTTTAAGGTATGATTCATCTTTTCAGTCTTTCCTGATGACTGTGGTCTCCAGGGGGCAGGCAGC